CTAATTGCTTTCTACTTTAACTAGATATGACACTTCAGTTATGTCCAAAATTATTCGACCAATCTTTTACATAAAATGAAAGCTCAGGCTGAGACTGACAGGTACACAGATATATAAATGTTGACATTAGATACTGTCATGTTTGCAGTCTCCTGCAGTTAGTCTATAAACCAGGCATAAAGTGAAAAACTGAGTTTGCAGAATTTGCCTTATATATAGAACAATCCATGTTAAACTTCAAAGTGGGCATTATCATTGAAGCTAAGGAAACAACACTGCTATATAATCACCTAATGCACTTTTCGCTTCTTTTCATACCATTAAGCGCAACTTGTTCTGAGCTCTTTTTCAATTACGGAAAAGAAATATTTGTTCTATAGAACTTTGTACCCTGATCTCCTTTTTATACCTTGTCTAAAAAGGAACTTGAACGGCCACTAACAAAACTATGAATATGGTAGACAATTCTCTCTTTGTCAGAGACTAGGAATACTTTGCTCTAGAAGATGGTCATGGGTTCAAAAGATGAAACTCATCGAGACTAAGGGTGTGCCTGTTATTCTACACTTATAAACTTGAAAGTAAAATATCAGCTCCAAAAGATGGCATAAGGAAATTCTGGAATTTTTGATATATGTATGCACTGATGATGACAAGATCTCAATTAGCTTTTCGCGGCTAATATGTCATTACTTAATGTGAACCATAGATATCGTATAAAATTGACAGGTAATGACAAGATTTTTTTCGTTATACGTCATATTTTTCTAAGCAGACCTTTCGAAAGTAATCCGTAAGAGAACTAAATTGTAAAAATCGCGAAGGTTCAGTGCATTTTCCCAGTCCTCGATTCAGTTTCAGCTTTATTTAGACCTATTCCAAAACTCTTGGAGATGAAATTTCTTTTTTTGCTGTGTACCTTCCACGTCACCTAATATACACAGTCCCTCCACCCGGTTAAGTTATTCTCAATATTGTTTACTCTGCAAATTGTCATCACAAGGAGTCCTTGACTAGAGATTTTCTAACAACAGGAAAAAACATGCAGAATTGTTCTTTGGTGTTGCGATCCTAGAAGAAAATGTGATTTTATGTGAGAACAATTGACTCGCAACTCTTATGGGAGTTTTTGGGCGAATTTCAACCTAAACGAGTTTTTAATCCGTTATTCACGTTATTCACCATTAGGGAATGATTTGAAAGAACGTTTCACTTGTACTTTTTTTATGACGAGTCGATTTGAGTGAAAATGAGGTATACTCGAACTTATGAAAGAACTTAAATTAGTGAAAAAAGGCAGTGTGACAACTATAAGTAGTAATTACGTAACATATTTGCT